TTTTACTTGTACTTTTTTTGTGAATGAGTAGCAATGTGTACTCATTCACGTGGGGGGATCTAATGGCCCCCTTATAGGGGCTTCCAGATTTGAAAAAGTCCCCCCGGAGACCCTCAACTTCATCGAGCCAGGTATGTTGGGATGGGGCGCTTGGTCCACATCAACATTGGGACAAAGTGCCTTGCCACAGGGGACTACTATCTAGAATAAGAGTCTGGTATGGATTTTGGCTGGAACCCTGCATCCTCGACACACACACACACACACACGAGTAGCCCTACTCAATCAAACAAAAAAGAAGTGTAAATAACGACAAATGCTGCACATCCATTGTCAGTCACATCATCCAGTGATTCAGATCTTCATGAATCACCGTGAATGACACATGCTGACCTCCAAAACAAAAAAATTATAATGGACAGGACAGAAGAGCAGCTCTAAATGACAGCTCTGGGCCCTGCAGCAGAATGTAAACAAAAAGGCAGGGAAAAGCCAAAAAAATATAAATGTTTGGTCCAAGACCTCACTTTGTAGACCACACCACTTTGTTAAAGTAGTATTAAACTCTCCAACTTTTTTTAAGATTGATTTCAGTTCTAACAAATATACATTTCACAGCAGAGTATTTCTGTAAATGTTTGCCCAAACACTTACAGTCATCATGTTTCAAAACAGCTGACTGCAATTCTCCAGTAAAAGATCACAAGGGACAGCACAGTCTCCAGCAACCATCCATCTACTAGGTTGGAAAAGGGAGAAGGGAAGTGGTTTGTCTTGCTCTGCCTGTGTGTTTGTGGAAACACACACAGCTTGCTGTCACTCACAAGGGTGGCTCCACAGGACCCTGCAAGGGAAAGGAACCATCCTAAAACAGGATATCAGGCCAAGTGTTGAAAAGTCAAAAGTGTGTGTCGTATTCACACTGACTTTTTTTCGTGACTGAGTAGGGCTATATATGTACCCCTTATTTATTTGCCTCTCGGGGCCCATTTTCCAGATTCTGATATACCCCTGCAACCATGAGGTCAGGGTTGTGTGGTAGATACCCTTTTCCTCATCAAAAGGGGACAAGGTGCTTTGCAGTGGGGGTTAACCCTGGCAGGGTACCCTCCATGTTTAGGGCATGATGTCTATTATGGTTCAGAGACTGGATGCATGCTTGCTGCCCCCCCCCCCCCCCCCCGCATTAAAATCCATACCAGACCTGAAGTATCTATTAGGGGGGAAACCCATGTTGTTTGGGTTTGTGTCAAACTTATGGTCAACCTGAAGCTCATCCCTAGCTCCCTTTACATTGATCACTATAAAGTGATGCCAACCACTAAGACAACACAAATGAATACCATGCAAAAGGCCTGATTCACAAAAGCTTAAAGCAAACCGGTGTTTTTCTCATGCAGGGCAAAGCAACAGGCTTGTTTTAATCCCCTCCCCAGCAACCTATATTCATCTTTCCTTTACTTCTCTGATTCTCCACTCACTCGTACTTCCAAACATGGAGAAGCATGTAACTCACTCCCCTTCATCTCATGGCAGCACTAGTGCTGGTCATAAGTCCAGCACTGTCACATAGGGACAGGTAGACATTCAGCCCTGTGTAAGCTCCGAGTCATGATTTGCAGCTTATACAGGGCTTCCTCTTTTTGCTCTCAGCTGGGAAGGGAGGCATTAAAGCAAACCTGTGGCTTTACCCTACGGGGTAAAGCTCAGGTTTACTTTAATACATAAGGTATTTTTTTTAGTGTGGGTGGGTTATAAATATATTATACATTTTTTATAATTATTTTTTCAATAATAACTTCAACTCCCCTGTATACGCATGCCAAGATTTTCCCCCTACATTACTTCCTACTAAAACAGGGTACCTTGTTGGACCGCATTATGAACATGGAGCTGGGCATGTACTGAGCTGACTGTCTTTGAGGAGGAGGGTGATCAGCAGTGACAATACTTATAACCCTCTATCTCAATGTATGTATCACGCAGCCCTGTGGGCCTAACAGCTGCAACAGATGTAAAGGGTGAAAGAATGATTTCACTGCAAGGCATTTAGCATTGTCACTCCTAAGTTGTAAAGTACCCCTTGGATGCAGAATGTTTATCAATGCATACACCTTTATACTGCAAATATACACTTTTTACTTTAGTTTTACTTTAACGCAAAACATACTAATACCACATTTAAGAATTATTTAATTCTTTAAACTAAATTTGTTTCAGGGAAAATTATAAACATGATAAAACGAACAGAGTTAAAAAAAAAACAACTAATCCATCATAGTCAACAGAGTCTATTGTGTGGAGTTCAGAGTTGTTTTTAGTCTTTAGTCTCTGAGTGTTGACAGCAAAGGTGATGTATTTAGAAATGAGGATGTTTTTGTTCTAGGATATAAGTGGAAGAGAGCTTTGCATTTCAACATATAAATACAGAAGCAGTGAATCTTCCACAGACAACAGGGCTTTCAAATTATCCATGACAGGCAAATAAAGGTTCATGATTTACAAACAGCACTAAATAGAGTCAGAATGGTAATGTGGAAATATAAAAGTTAGTGTTTTCTATATTTATTTCCAGAATTTTGTAGAACCCAAAATGGGTATCTGAAAAATTGTCTTAGTATTATGTACCGCATGAAGCTATAATAATGTACTTTAGATAGATGATCCCTCGTGCTTCTAATACAAAATATGTGATGGCTGAACACAATCATGTAGTATTTGTGGTTGCTGTGTTTAAAATATTTTTTATTTCCTGTTCTTTGACAAGTCTTTTACATGAAAACACATCTGCATGAATTACTGCTCATCTCTTACAGTTATGTTCTGGGGCTGATGAATCAGCACTCTGAAGTAATATATGAATAATGACCTATTTTCCTATGCTCATTCCTTATACATGGAAGATGCAGAATCCCTCGAAATAATTGGGAAACAACTGAAAGGACATGGAAACATAGAAACATGCAAGATGAAAAAATTAGCATTAGATAACATTTATTTCTTATCTTGTAAAGTAATTTTACGCTTTTCACAGCTGCAAAAAAACAAACAAAACTGCAGTAGCATACAATCATGTAGCTTCATGCCTGTACACAAAGGAAAACAATAAGGGCGAGTTCACACCTGAGCGGCATCATTTTTGTGCGTTTGTACGTGCGTGTTCAGCATGTGGTTATTTGCACGTTTTTGAGCATTTGTACGCGCATACATGAAGATGCGTGTTTTGACTGGCAGCTTAACATTGCGGGCAATGGATGAACGCACATACTAAAGTGCAAAAATGCACACAAAAATGTGCAGCATGTTTCTGCCATGAGGTTTTCGGGCGTTTCCATTGAAGTCTATGGGGCAAAAATGGGCTGTTAACGCCCAAATAAGCTCATGTACCTTTTCGGGCATTTGGTGTTTTCCTGCTGATGTTTTGCTGCTCAGGTGTGAACAGGGGCCGATAAAAATCATGGGATTTCTTGTGTTGGGCGTTTAAAATCGCTTTTCTAGCTTCTGAAAAACGCCTCTGTATGAACCAGGCCTTAGGTTCCTTGTGAAAACATAACATTCAGGAATTTATGTTATCATACATATTTGGATATGTTTGCAATATGTTTTGGGATACCACTTGGCAAAGTACGGTTCCTTGCCACCATTTCTTTTCTAGCAGCTCCATAAAACAGTCCCAGTGACCCCCAAAGACCAAAGTGTCAGTATTAAAGAGAATCTGCCATTAGCCCAGTAGAACATATTCACAGTCCCTTCACACTCGTCACTCTGTTTATCCACCAGGATTGAAAAGACATTCCTAGCTCTTCTGTAAATGGAGAGTTTGTAACTTACTCCCCTCCATCCTACGTGGTAGATGACTGGTCCCTCATTTTTACATGGGGGAGGGAAAAGAGTTCTCTGTCCTAGTAAGTACCAAGTCATGACTTGAGGTTAACGGAACTCCAACAGTTCAGAATGCTGAAGCTATGATACATAAGGTCCACTGCTACCCATGCAGTAAAATACATCTGAATCTGGTATTAAGCATGGATACCTGAATTTAATATCAATGAATAAGCATTTTCCCTAACAGGATAGTCAATTTAAAGTGATGGAATAATGACCTTTCTCAGCAGTGAACTTTTGCTTTTGCACATCTGCAAGCTTTTTACTGGAGATGTATGTAAACTGTGGAAGGCCACAATTAAGGACATATATTTTGTTAACATTTAGCTCCTTTGTATAAACATAATTATGGGCTGGCTTGTAGGCAGACATTTTTTGGGTAATTGCAAAGCAAGCAGTTCTGAATTCCTGCTTTGACAAAACACTATGACATAATAGAAGATCCTCACCCAAATCCTAGCTGCCTGCAGACCACTTCAGCATCAGCATCATCCCACTGGTCATCACACACTGTTCCCCATTGACCACCATGAAACACTTCAATCCGTCCTTCAAAAGCTGAATTTCCACCAACGAGACGAGTGGGGATGAAAGCAGAGTCTGTCACTACAACAAGATCAAATGACACATAATGAACATGTTTACCATATTTATTCTAGAGTAATACATTAAAGTATATGAAAACCAACAATTTATTATACGTTTTAACATGTTAATGTAATTTCATAACTTGTTTTTACTGTTCTTTGCTTTCGTTTAAAAAAAATTAGGTGAATGAATATTGTTGTCCCTTGGTTCTCAGCCTCACTATAATGGGATGGTCCTTGAAAAAATATGGCAGTGATATTTTTCTACACAGTCCCTTCAAAACAAGCTGTCATTAAATATTTATCCATCCCAAAACACACCATATTTTTTTTCAATTACAGAACAAATGGTCATCTGAGGGGGAAAGCTTAAGTGGGTAGATAGGATGTTGAAGCATGTCAAACATTCAGAAATGACACTTATGGAACGTTCTGATGTGTGGCATGGTGCATTGTCATCGGGAAGCAACACCCCCTTGGTGAATTTTTAGCATTGTTTGCTCTCCAAATTCAAAGTTTCCCTAATATTTGCCATCACCATCTCCTCTACATCTATAATACTGTAACCAATGCATTTCCAACAGAAGAGTCGAGTTTTATCTTTTTTGTATAAGTGAGTGAACATGTTTCCATTGTTTTAACTTTAGTTGACTTTAGAATGGGTGACCATGTTTCATTTACTGTTAAAATATGTTGCAGTTGTTTTCCTAGATTAACTTCAAACAGTGTTCTGTGATGACATCTTACTAGCTTTTGCTACGACCCATGGGCAGTACCCTTTATCAATGCCATACGTCTTTTTAGATTACAATCAACTGGGAGGTTTTTTTTGCTATTATTTTTTACATATTCACCATCTCACTAATATGACAAAAATGTCACTGTCCTAGAACCTAGAAGTATGCATATTAGAATTGTGACCATGTTTTGATTTTATTGGTTGCATACTTTTTCCACATCAGAGACTGAAAAAGGATTGAAGTCAGATCATTGTCATGACAGCCGGACAACTAGCTTTTTAGGAGGGGAACAAATATAATATCAGGAAAATACTGCATTATGATGACTAAATGGAGCTGAGGAGCATAGGAAAGAAATACTTCTTTCCTATGCTCCTCAGCAACATGTATTGGCCATAATGCAGTATTATCTAGATATTACATTTGACCTGCTAAGAAAATATACCAATAACATTCACCTTTGCCCCCATTTGCACAGAATGAATGTACATGCAGTTTTGCAGGATGAACCCCTTAGTGTTACAACATTCAGAAAAATAACACTTAAAATTGATCACTCAAAAATGTAGTTAAGTAGCCTAAATACAGGTGAAACTCGAATAAGTAGAATATCGTGCAAAAGTTCATTTATTTCACTAATGCAACTTAAAAGGTGAAACTTATATATGAGATAGACTCATTACATGCAAAGCAAGATAGTTCAAGCCATGATTTGTCATAATTGTGATAATTATGGCTTACAGCTCATGAAAACCCCAAATCCACAATCTCAGAAAATTAGAATATTACATGCAATCAATAAAACAAGGATTGTACATAGAACAATATTGTACCTCTGGAAATTATAAGCATGCATATGTACTCAGTACTTGGTTTGGGCCCCTTTTGCAGCAATTACTGCCTCAATGCGGCGTGGCATGGAAGCTATCAGCCTGTGGCACTGCTGAGGTGTTATGGAAGACCAGGATGCTTCAATAGCGGCCTTCAGCTCTTCTGCATTGTTCGGTCTCATGTCTCTCATCTTTCTCTTGGCAATGCCCCATAGATTCTCTATGGGGTTTCGGTCAGGCGAGTTTGCTGGTCAATCAAGCACAGTAATCCCACGGTCATTGAACCAGGTTTTGGTGCTTTTGGCAGTGTTGGATCGCTGGCACTCCTAGCTCTACACAATCGTTTTCTATTTATTTTTTTGTACTTTTTTAACTATTTTTCTGTTCTGCTCGGTACCACAGAGGGAGCATTCTCAGTGTAATAATCGCCCCGGACCGGGTCTTCTATCTAATATGGATCTCAACTGCGGTGTCTGGGTACGGGTATCAGAGTAACAGCTGCCCTCACGTGCCCCGTTTTTGCAGGAGGCTGAGAGGGAGCTGCTTCACATAATTTCCCCGCTGGGGTTAAGGGAGCCGAGTTGCCTAGCAATCACAGTAAAGCCAGTGAAATCTTTTTTTATTTTAAAAGATATAATCACTGGAAATCATGAAGAGTGTCTGCAGCACTTTAAATTTCCATTGAGCACGACAAATGCTGGTTCTTACACCAGATTTATGTACCTGTTGCAAAGAACCGAGTTCCCCATCAGGTCCGCTCTGCTGCCGATTGACAACAGGCAGTGGGCGGGTGCTTTAGCGAGCCTGCTTTTAGCTGTGGCACCTGCCTGCTGTCAATCAACAGCAGACTGGACCTGATGGGGAACTCAGTGTTCAGAATTCTATTAGGCTCTACCCACTCAACATCACTATGACAATTAAATGTAAATAATGGTGGATTCTGGATGACATAATTACTCTACATAAATATGGCTAGCATCCCTGCCCCTTTGTTTACATCCAGCTGCCAGCTGGGGAATCTCACAGCTGGCAGCTGAATGGGGCCAGCGATACATGATTGCTTTTTTGTTTGTTTTTTATTTATATTTTCTGTATTGAAATTGTTTTTTAGTTTGAAAAAGGAACATTAACATCAGAAAACTTCAGATCATTTTTGTGGGTGGGGTATCCAGCAAATTTGAATACATCCCTATGCTAAAGAGCTTACTGTATTTAGCCAGCAACAGTATCTGTGGAAGAGGTTTTATTACGAGTTATTAGGAGAGGATAACAGGACCATCCTCTGAGGTTGCAGAGTAATCAGAAGGTGTGTTAACACAATAGAAAAAATAATAAAAATGTAACCCAGCATATTGACAACAGGACCTCTGTGGATTCTCTATAAAACAAGAATGCATTTTAGAGAGCCAAAAACCAGGAGGTTCAACTGACAGATAAGCCCTTGCTGTCAATGCAGAACCAAAGGTCGGAGTATATCTCCTGGCAGGAGTCACGAAGAGTAAGAAAAACATGGGGATGGGGATTAAAATCTGCTCCAATCAAAACAAAACAAAAAATGCAATGAACTTGTACCATAATACAAACCTTTGGCCTAAGGTGTAGGACAAGGACACTGTCATCACAGCCGTGTGAACAATAAAAATATGATTGCAAACATACACAACAGCCTCATGGATTGGCGTATGGTGTTCAATAAATAGGGTTATTATACATTTTTGTTAATTGTTATTATGATTCAGAATATTAAAGAGTGGTTTTCTTTCAAGAACTTTGTATTTTTCTAAAACCTACACATATTGCAATCCAGCAAATAAGTAATTTTTTTCTTGTTTGTGTCTAATGTACACTAAAAAAAGTTGTAACACATTGGGAAATTCTCAAGCAATAAAAGTGTACTGTATGGCATCCTTTCCCATCCTGTTTCCATTTATCAGAACAAAAACCTGTAGTAGACAGTCATAAGAGGTTCACAGCAGGGAGCTGGAAGGGCGCTCCCTGTAATTGCTCCATTTGATGCTACAAAAGAAGCAACATCAGAGTAGGAGGATGAGAACCCTTTAGTCTTCTTTTGATATGTTACTTAATGGCACAAACCTGCTGCTCTGGTTTTAATGTACAGATCTTGAATTATAAATGAGATCGCTGCTGCAGCTCTTGTAATGGACACAGCTGCATTCCCCTCACAAGGCTTAATTGATCTGTTTGATGCACAAGGAAATCGCCTACTGGGACAAAATGTCTTTTTTCTTCTCAGCCTTTTGACAGTGTTGTGTCATCCTCTTTGACTGTTTATAGCTACATTGTGTATTTGAAAAGAGTAGATAGAATATGGTGTTAAAGAAACAGCTCAAAAGTTCTGCCTCAAGGTCTGCAAATTTCATATTAAAACACAAGCACTTCAAGTGCCAAGACACTTTGTAACCATTTACGATTCTGGATCTTGGCATGTATTTTTTTTTTTTCCAAAACATGTTTCTTTTATTTTCAATTAAAGATATTGACAGTCATTTGCAAACATTCTTAATATTCTGCACTGTACAAAGACTACTTAGATAGTGAAATAAATACTATTACATTTTTATCTCTTGGCTTTAAATGTTTTGTTGATGAAAAAGACCCCCCACCTTCTCAGGAAAAGTGCAACTTTCTAGTTATACCTTTCTGACAAAGGCTTAGAAAGAGATAGAACACTGTGATATTAAAGAGAATCTATTTCTAATTTTGTTATCTAATTTCTTGTGGTGTATATGGAACTTAAAAGCTTAAAATGGACTTCCACTCATATCTAGGACAATTTATAATCTTAATACTTCCCCCACAGTCCCTTGTACACATTTGGTATACTTTTTTGGGGGTAGAAAGTACCCTTTCCAGTAGGTACTTGCACCCACTTCCTCATTTCTCACCTGGAAGAGGATAACATCTATTTGTTTCACCCCCCCCCCTGAACCCCTCACTGCCTGCACCCTCCTAGGATACACTTCACACACCCTCAGGAGGCTACAGGACCAGTCTCCATGTGTCCCTCCATCTGGAAGTCACAGCTATGTACCAAATCCAAGATGGCGGCATGGGAACATAACAAGCTGTGATGACTTTGTGTTCTTTGAAGACAGTGCTGGACTTCTTGGAGTAGATTTTTTACTACTCCTAGTTTAAATACCGGTAGACTTGGTATAATAGCATAAAAGGATATAAAAAAGATGGAAAGAATTCTCCTGCTAGGTGAGAATCACTGAGGATCATAAAAAAATTGCTAGGAAAACCCAACTATCCCACCCAAATAGGAACCTACTAATAAATAAAAATAATAAATGGGTACTACTACAAAAGCAGTATTGTACAAATCCTTTATTTAATAAATTATACTATACACAAATTTAAACTGAAAATCCCTTAACCTGAAAATGACATCCGATTGTGAATCAAAAATTATGACAACGTTGTCATGCACCAACGAGCATTCATTTCCATATACTCGGTCAACTAATCAGTGGTACCAGTAACTAGTGAACATCAATGTAATGTGTGGTTAAAGTGCCAGTTAAATAGTCCATATCTGGCCCGGCCACACACAAAAATGCTCCCAGAGGGCAATAAGCGTCCACTAATCACCAGGTAGACGGTTCACTGGATCACTGGATCAAGATTGAGTGCATCTAAATAGTACATAAACCATCCATATCACTGCTATTAGTAAATCAGTCCAACATGATCCAGACGTCCAAAGCAGCAATGCACTGAAATGAGAAGATTGAACAAAGTAGCTGGGGGGGGTTAGCGGATGCTGCACGAAATTAGTGTGCATAGGACAGTATGCAATAATATGCTAACAAGAAACATGCTGATAAGAGGAAAGAGCAGAGTGACAGAAATATGGGCTTATTAGTCACCTGTTTCTCATTTACTGTCCTGTCACAGTTTGGGGAAGAAGCAAGACCTACTTGTATTTTTTAACTGCAGCAGAGAAAAGTCAGGTTCCCAGGCTTACTGTGCTTTCTGACAGCAAACCTCAGAAATAATTGGACACAAATAAATCCTTTGGCTGGTAAAACAGCTCTCATATATGTATTTAATCTATGTAATTACTAGGGATGCACCAATACTAGTATCGGTATCGGTGCCAATACCGAGTATTTGGACGAGAACTCGTAATCGGCCCAAATGCTCCAATACTTACCCCGATACCGGAACTTCCAGTCAGAGGGAGATTTCCCTGACTGGAAGTGCCGCGAGGGAACATGGAGTCGGCATTCAAGCCAATCATGCTGTTTAGCTGACTCGGTGCTGATTGGCCAGAAAGCTGGCTTCCCAGCCAATCAGCATGGTGCCAACCAAACTGCATGGAGTCAGCTTCCCGCCCAATCATGAAGCTGGGCGGCGGGTAATGACCCACCTCTCAGCTTCCTGATTGGCCGGCTCTATGCTGTTTAGCCAGCTCAATTTCGATCAGCATCAAGCTGGCCAAACAGCATGGAGTCGGCTTCTATAGCTGGTGTTTTTTTTCATTGCTGTATAAAGTATAGCTGTTGGTATTATTCTACATTGGGGTATAATGTATTGGTTGGAATTGTAGTTCTCTATAGCTAATGGAATTCTGCATTGCTGTATAATGTATTTCTGAGATTTATAGTCCTCCATAGCTGATGGTGGTATTCTGCATTGCTGTATAATGTGCTGTGATTTGTAGTCCCTCTACAGCTTGAAGTTAGTGGCAGAACTACCAGGGTCGCAGCAGTTGTACACGCACACAGCACTGACGAGGAATCCCTCCACTACCAGTGTTCTATAATTTTCCTCAACCCATTAATTTCTCTACCGCGCCTCTTTCAGGTGTGCAAGTCATGAAGAAAGGGGGTCATGAAAACAGCTGATACAGATGGCTCGGCCCCAGACACAGTTGAGAAAATGTATACGATCGAGAAAAATTATAGAACACTGACTTTGACACTGTCCGGCCCCTCCCACAGCTCACTGCTCAGAAGCATGGACAGCCAGCGGCGGTCTACAGTGGGCGAGAGTGCCTATGTACCAGACATAGAACGGAGTAAGGCCAGAACCATGTAGGGAGCCCAGTGGGAGGAGAGCACCACCCCCCAGCCTGTCACCCCTTTCATGGACTTACTAGGAGTCCTCACATCACCCGACCATTCACACTACCGTTACATGGATGGCAAAAGTGGCAGGCAGGGGCGGGGAGAATGCGGGGGAAGAGGCAGAGCGGCAGGGGGGCCAAGTTGCTGCACCATGGGCCTCTGGGTTGTACTTGCCCCCTGGGCTAAAAGTTGCCAGTCAGCTCCTGCTGTATTCCGCACCTACTGGGTGCTGAGAGCTGATTTAATTGCGGATGGCATCCGCGGTTGCGGTATCCAGGATTGTGGGCGGCGTTGGACTACATGTCGCAACCGCAGGGCGCAGATGCCATCCGCAATTAAATCAGCTTTCGGCACCCAGCGGTTGCGACATGCATTGAAAATGATCAGTGCCCCCCCCCAGATTTGACTGTGGTATCTTATGTGCCCACCCTATATATTGTTCCTAGAGTCGCCACAGGCAGACCCAAAGATTTGCTGCAATCTAACAACATATCAAAAACAATGGGCATAAGCATAGGACAAAGAGAATAGCAAAACTAAGGCTAGTCAAACACAGCTCAGCCCCTGCCAAATATGAGGGCTGTAGTGGAGGGTGATAACAACACTGCCAACCATAGAGATTTTCTAAATTGTTGAAAAAAACTAATGTGCATGCGGGACCCATAACTTTCCTTAAGTGTTAAATGCATGATTGGGTCTATTCCATAGTAAGTGGATTTCACACATAATTTCAAAGCAGTTTTAGTGAGGAGCAGATATGTCACCACCTGTTGTTCTCGGTGAGACAGCTGCTCATCCTAATAATTGTGTGAGCACCCTAACAAAGGATTGCAGATATATTAAACCAGAGGTGAACAAATATGCTACATTTTTGCTAATACTTAAGGCACTTGAATGCATTTCTAAGATTTAACTCTTGAATTAAGAGGGTTATTCACTTAGCTGCCGCAGGCAGCCGAGTGAATAAGTGAGCCGAAGTGAACAGAGCTGATGTTTGGCTATTCACTCCGGCTCCGTACATCGGCTGAAATCGGTTCGGCTCAGCCGAAGTGCAGAAGGAGTTCGACTCAGCCGATCCAACATCTAGATCGGCTGAGCCGAAGCTCCGGAAAGGTCACTCGCTGCCGTTCACCCCTATTCTCATTGGGGCCAAACGGCAGTGAGTGAATAGCCAAATGCCGCCGACCTCAGCATTTTTGCTCGCTACCTGAGAAAAAAATGAAAAATGAAAATTATTCAAATAAATGTTAAAAAAAAGAAATTAAAAAAGTTAAGAAAATAAAAAAAAACATTTTAAAGAAAAAAATAAAACAGTGTGGGGTTCCCCCCAAAAGTCATACAAGACACTTTAGGTCAGGTAGGAGTTTTAGGAGGGACCCCAAGTTATAATTTTAAAAAAAGTGCGTGTGGTCCCCCCAAGTCCTACCAGGCCTTTAAGGTCTGGTAAGAGGAATTTTAAGGAGGAACCCCACCCCCAAAATGGGGAAATATAAGATATGGGGTCCCCCTAAAATTCCCAACCAGACCCTTGATCCGAGCACAGGCCTGGCAGGGCAGGAAAAGGGGGTGGGGGCAAGCGAGCCCCCCCCCCCCCCCCTCTCTGCCATACCAGGCCACATGCCCTCAGCACTGGGAGGGGCCTCTTCCCCACAAGCCCTGGGGGGTTGGTTGTGGTGGTGCAGGCAGGGGGGGCTTATTCCCATCAGGGTACCCCTTTAATAAAGGGGCACCAGATGCGCCCCCCCCCTTGTGTAAGAGTAAGGGGTACTTGTACCCATACCCATTCACTAAAGTGTTAAAATAAATTTAAATAAAAAATCCAGACATTTATAAAAAAATCCTTTAATTAAAAAAAAACACAACAAAGGATTTGGACAAGTCCTTTATTGTTAAAAAAATGCATCCACCGACATAATCCTAGGGTCAATCACGACCTCCATCGCTGTCAACGACTTCGACAAAATAAAAATTAAAAAATAGTAAATAAATAAAAAATAATTGAAAAAGAAATGATGCAGGCTGACTCGACCGCACGCGACATACCCCGAACGTATAATGAAGACTCTGAATGAAGTCGAGAAAATATAAACAATTGGGCAGAGCTAGCAGTGACATCACCGCCAGCTGCACCCAACTGTTTACCTTTGCCCGGCACCTGCCAGAGTTTGGCAGGTCTCATTGAGAACCATGGTACCGCTGTATTGCAGACATCTCAACACTCCCGGACGTCCCGGGAGTCTCCCGGCAATAAGATAGCGGCTCCCAGATGCCCGGGAGAGAAACATTTTGTCCCAGAAAGGTTTACTCCTTTGTTTTTATTATTATTATTCTGACATCGGGGCCACCGACCGCTGTAAGAGTTTTAAAAAAAAGACAGCATGGAAATGAATAGCTAGACTGCTATTGGCTATTTCAATTTGCAATAGCCAATAGCAGGCTGGCTATTGCCCCCGCCCACTGCTGCTGTCAATCAGCAGAGGTGGACCTGAAGTTCTCCATCAAGTCCTTCTCTGCTGATTGACAGCAGCAGTGGGCGGGTGCAATAGCCAGCCTGCTATTGGCGATTGCAAATTGAAATAGCCAATAGCAATCTAGCTATTCATTCCCATACTGTCTGGTTGTTTTTTTTACTCTGATGGCAAGAGCAGTCAGAATACCAAAAATAAAACAGCAGATAGCAAGGGAAGCATTAGCTTCTCTGCCATCTGCCATCATTTCAGGTAGGTGCCCTCTCCCCATCCCTCCCTCTCCCATGGATGGTGGTGGGGGGGATGGGGGAGAGGGCACATCCCTGAAATTAATTATTGCAGGTTGGGAAGCCTGGTATTGCTTCTTTTTAGTTAGACTCCTTAGTCCTGGAGGTTGCTCTGGGCAGGATGGAGTGATGGTTATGCTCAGTATTGAGTACCTGGGACTCATTTGACAGCTGTTGGGGGGGACTATAAGCTAGACTAATATTTATTTTTCAATAAGCTATTTGTCTCCTGAGAGTGGCATAGGGTGTGTCTGCAATGCTTCTATTGTTCATCAGTTACTGGGTCAAGGTCACCATAATGGTATAGTACAGAGAATTTAGTATATGGAAGAGTTTCATTTTCTGAAAAGGACTCCCTGTAGATAGGACTTGCATGCTAAGCAATGTTTATTTACCATGTGTAGAACTACATGTGACTGCAGCTGCTACTTCCTGCGGACATGCCCCACCCAGCCAGATGTTTTTTTCACACATAAGTATGTTTTCTTCATCGCCACGGCAACGTACGTTATTCCAGACAGCTGGAATTGTTCCAGATATTGGTATCTTCTTTGCTTCTCCTTTATTGCTGCAAAGGCAGAGGAAGAATGGAATTCAGCATTTAATTTAGTAACATGTCACTCATAACACATTTTGATGCAAATGACAAAATTCAGAGACAACTATTTCAACACACCATATACTGGACTGAATCAATAACCAGTTTAAAATGACTATGTCTGATGTGCAATATCCCATAGCAACCAATCAGATTTGATCTGAAATGACAGTAGTAAAGTGAAACCTGACAGATTTCTATGGGATGGTGCACTTTGTACACAGTCACTGCACATTGTAATACCTTATTAATTAATTTACTTTTTTATGTGGCCCATAGCCAGAGGATATCTGACAATGCTGCAAGCATTTTTATCATATTTAAAGGAACCCAGTCATGAGAAACACATGGAGACTTTTCCTTCTTTAAATGCTAGTTGCCTGGCTGCCATGCTGACTCAGTTGCTTTAATTATTTGAGTCAGTGGCTAGGAACAAGCATACGCATTAAAATTGGATACAATAAAAAAATGTATAACCAGAGGTTAATTTTGATTAATTTTATTAAAACAGCCACTACATGCAGACATAGGCAGCTAAAATTACAGTCAAATTGTGACTTTTTCTGTAACTGCTTTACCCTGTCACTTCTACCTAAGTCAATGTTGCCACCAAACACATTAGAAGCAGGTTGGGAGGGTAACTTAACTTTGAAGCAAACCTGTACTTTGCCCATTCAGGAATAGACTTGCTTTTAGAAATGTAAGTTTCGTTATGTGAATTTCGAGAATTCGAACATTCAGATGTACCCAAATGTTTAAATTCCAATGAGGCCGAATGCAAACGAACCCGAACAAATTTTTGGATCATCCGAATTTCGTTCAAAAGGAAACTAAATCGGACATGTGACTGTTTTCTGGCCAATCAGAAAACCCCTGTAGGGCTCACCCCTGAAGGAGCCATTGGAATAAACAGGTACTTCTGTCTCACCTCTGTGAAGGATCCGCAGCACACCAGCACACCTTGTAGGTTTTTATAAAAGCTTTACTAAACAAGTAATATTCTATCTTTGACAAATGGGGAATATAAAGAACATCAGCAAATATAAACTTGCATGCAATATATGCACTAGCTAATTAGATACACCTCAGCCACAGCTGTGTAATTGCTGCTCATATATAATACTTAGCTTGCTGGACAGATACCCACTGACTATGGCTACTGGGTTAATATTGACTGGGTTAATAAAGGTCCCTACACTAGTGGCCAGTAATAATACTTTAGGCTAGCCAATGTTGAGGCCCAGACTTTGTTGCAGGTACAAGTTAAATCCAGCAATAACAGGTGGCTCTCGGCCTCTCACTACTCCTGTAGTAGGCGGGCTTGGATGGCGATTCCCCCTCTGAGCCAATCACGGTAGGCTTTGTATTAATGAATACAAAGCCTGTATTAATGAATACAATGCCTGCCGTATATTTTAACACAAAAAGTAGGGGGTCGTCTTATACGCCCAGTCGGCTTATACGGCAGCAAATACGGTACATTTGCAGGACCTTTACTCAAACTTTCTTGGAAAAATTTAGCAAAAGATACCTTTTCTAGTTGTGCTCTTTTTTGTGTAAGCACATTCCTTTGCTAAAGACATATTTTGTTGAATACATCTCTGTCATTATGTCACAACCTGCACATCACAAATGTACTAGGTAGGCTGTTTCCCTGGCCAATGTCTACATCAAACCTCCATCAGTATGGTCAAACACAATGTTTTCCGCTAGAATCAATGGTGTCATTGATAAATCAATATTTAAAATCAAAAGGGGCCTAAGAAGAGTATACTACTAAGACCTGTATTTCCTCTTAAAGAATAGAGGAAGAGGTTTGATCTGGTAAATGTTTTGTAGAATCTGTCCATCCACTAGTCATTTTAAAGGAGGCAATTGCCACCACGAGTCAGAATTGTCAGCACTGCTGACTGAAAGCATCATCCTTGACCTCATGCTAGTATGGGATATTCCTGCTTGCTTAAAAAAATTGATAGTAAGATTTTACATTTTTATTAATAACAAAGTGTATTTTAAAGATCGAAGCATTCCAAATATTCAAGAACAAAAATGAGCTTGCTGAAAAAAGCAAAGGAAGCAAAGAGCTAAAAGCAGCAGTACCAATGGCAACCAATCAGCAAAGTGAAATGATTAGATAGTATGGATCACTACAATTAACACTTTGCCTCTTCCACTTGCTAAATAAGCCTGTGTGGGTTATAAGGAAAGTATGCAATCATAATTAGGTAGTACATGCAATCAATGTACACATGTAAAAGGTAAACTGAACCACATGAGGAGTTACTTTGTAGTTACTAGCTTTTAGAATAAAGCAAATCTTCAACCATAAATAACTACTAATAGTGTCTTTCATACCTGCCTGGAGTACAGCTTTAAAGTTTATATTTTGCCTTTCCTAAATCCACCCCCCCCCTTAATAACATGTTATTTAATTGTTTTAATAAATTCATGACATACCTTAATTTAAACACAGTGATATAATCACTGGGCCTCTGCGCCTCTCTTTGCAATGCTGGCAGAGGATATCTGGTTGTAGGGGATGGCAGGGTGCTATACATAGGGGTCTATTCACGAAGCTGCCGAGGGCAGCCGAGTGAATGACCGATCTGAAGTGAAGTGAGCCGAACACTGTTCGGCTATTCACTTCAGGCTGGTATGGCTAATTTCAGCCGTACATCGGCTGAAATCAGCCGTACAACGGCTTGCTTGGTGTGGCTTCGGGTCGGCCGAACATGCTTAGCATGTTC